TACAAGTTACGTGACGAAGTGTGGCACATACATATTTGGTGTCTCATAAAGCCAATATTCATATGTTTAAATAAATACATTTATCAAAGAAACGCTCGCTGTTCAAAAAATAGAAAATTTGATCTAATAAATAATTGTTGCTTCATACTGAAATATTACCACAATGAAAATTATCTATGCATTATACTTTGAAAATCCTAATTTACAGAAACTGAACATTAACGACATTTCTAATACCAAAATAAAGACATATGATCAGTGTTTCAATGATTACATTAGTTTTCATCTCAATGATATTTTGTGTAAACCAAACTAAAAGTAAAGATGGTGGAGAAAATTTGTAGCTCAGGTGGATGATTTTGATGGAATTTTGTTCTTTGAACTGGATGGTTTGGTCATGGAGCTTTCATCGTTATTCTGAACGACATCATTAGCAAAAACTTCAGGTAGAAGTGCTGATGATGTCATTTAGAATAACGATGAAAGCTCCATCATCAAACCATCCAGTTAAGAGAAAAAAACGCCATCAAAAATGTGAAGATATTTATACAAAAGGAAACTATGAGATTGGAGAAAATAATTTTCAAATACACAATTTTTTTGTTTACACAATAAACCTATAATAGATCATAAACAAAAATTTCATTAAGAAATAATTTGTCTAAGTAAATATGATTGAGAAGAAAGAAAAAGTTGATGAATTATTGACAGATCAATTTATTCTATTCTATTCTGTTCTCAAATTTCGTTAATTCAAGTTTATGTATTAGTTTTCTTGTTCATTACAAAACTACACGAATAAATTGTTAGATGGTTAATAGTATTAATGAAATTATGCCAGTGGAAAGAAAAGTGATGAATTTATACCAGTATGATTGAGTATTATTATATTATGAATTTACATGAACTAGATATGGTTCATTATAAAAGAGATTAGAATAATTCAGGTAAGTAAGATACCAAAACATCAGTAAAACAAAACTAATGTTTTATATTGGTTGTTTGAATCTTTACATTGATGTTTAGGACTGTAATAGATCAGTCTCTTATTGGTATATGTACATCCTGTGTGGATTGCCTAGATATTGCTTTAAACCACAAGCATGATAAGCAGAGATGGATAGTGTCTAGCATTAGAATCCAGGATGACATTTCGTCCTATTTGGAACTTGTCAATTGGAGGTACTTGGATCCTGGAGTTTATGTTCACTCTGAGACTAGAACTTAGTATATTTCGCTTCAAACGCCATCGCATTATCCACTTACTAATGTTAATAATAACTAAATGCATAAATAACTGCATAAATAACACAATACTATTCTAACACTCGTCAAACTTGTCGTTCAACTCTCTCCTTTCCTTCTGGTGTGGACAATGTGACAATGTAAGCTGTTAGGATCCAAAGTATGAATAAAGAACTGAACAAATTAGCATATATGGAGATAAAAATGAGAAACTTTTATCGATCACTAAATCTAAACTCTAATGTAATCACAAAATTTGATATGGTCCGTTGATATAATATATATAAAATCCAGGCCTTTTTCAGGTGAAAGAGATTGGATATTCGCAGTATGAATTCAATTTGTTATGTTAAATTAGTAAGCAACTAGCCAAATATATAAGTTAGTAAATGTATAATATCAAATGTTCTAATGGTATAATTATCTGACAAACTAGTCTCATCGTCATGCTTACTATTTGACCTGAAACAAACAGGTGGGCAGACATAGAAATAAGAGAATACTGACAAGTGTACCAAAAATAATCAGACATGAATTGGGGTCATAAGCACTACGGGTGATCTTTAGTCACCTTGTAGTATATATATATACCACATGGATTGTTAACATAATAACAATTTACAACTCAGTTAATTTATTTTCCATAATATTCAAGACTAAGGTAGGGATAACCCTTTCATTCCATAAATCACTGCAAAAATCAAAAAAAGTCTTAGTTTAAGAATAAACCACATTTATCAATCCTAATCTGATATAATGTTGAAGGTAAAATGTCTTAGGTCGAAAAAAGCAAACATCAGATATTTAAGCAAAAAACCCAAAAAATAGTCTAATAAATAAGCATGGTAAATAAGCAAACAAGTTATAGTCTTTCAGGATAACAACAAACACAATAATAGATGATATATGAAAATAAATGTAAATACCTTAGAGATAGTATATTGTATGACTGAAAAATAAGAATCAGGATACTTGAAGTAGGATGGAATCAAAAATATGACTTTATTATTATTGAAAAGACTAATAAAGCGAAGAAAAACTCGTTTAAGTACAATGCTCTCCAATATATAATTTAAAAAAGAATCGACTTGAATGTCCTACAATGTAATTATGTATATATCCAGTCCTTCATAATCATTTGTTACGTACGTATCTTTAAACACCAATGAAGTTCGATAAACAATTTTCAGATGTTATTCAAGAGTATCCAACAGTGTGTGTAAACAAAATTATGAAAACTTCGGTAGACGTTTTCAGTGGAAAGTTATATCCTAAAAATAGGTAGCGTACTATCAACAAAGTGTGCGGTACTTGGAGAATACACTTAAATTACTAGAAACAAATGTCAGAACTTCCACTAGTTTAAATCTTGTCAAGATGATGAATAGGACACGAGTTTACTAGATTCCTCAAACTAATGCGCCTTGGTAAGAATCCTGAAACTCCATACAATAAGCGCTTATATGGGACGTGAAAGTCAGATATTGCTACTTCTAGGAGCAGCTAGTGCTTACTTGAGACAATACTGGACGTTTTTACTTAATGTTAGGTTAGGTTAGAACAAGAATACCAACTACTGAGTCGAACTGCAATGATCCAACAGAGTATACTAACAGCCTGAAGAGAAAGTCTTGGCTCTTACAGTAGACGCTGTTAGACAGTCGGAAATCGAAACATAAGTCTTCTGTGACTCACAAAGAGCCTTGACATTTTCTAATACATAATTAGTGTATCATTTGAACAATAACAAAATTAAAGTTTATCAGTTGAATATAATTATACATTTCTTCGAGATTCAGCTGGAATAAAAGTGGAACCACGAACGTAAGTTTACTATGATGATTTAGGTGGAGATGAAATAATCCAATGAAACGGACGATGGATGATAAAGCATTACGACTAGGACTATGAGCAGACAAAAAATAACTTTTTATTACTGGGTATTATTCAAATGTGCAAAACTTTCAAGTTTGAATGGAATTAATCTAACTTATGATGCAACCATTTATTTCTATTGTTAGTTCATTTAGAAATAAACCGAAATTTCAAGCCACGTTTAGTAAAGCAGTCAATCGATATGTCTTTACTTTTTCAAAACCGATATCTTGTTTGTTTGATGATAAGACAAATATATTTAGAAATAATTTGAATTAGTCAACACATTTTGTTAGCCACACACCTAAATAAACCAAACCTTATTCGGTTGTCGTATATCTTATTCATTAAGGATATTGGTAACATACAAACATGTCTCCTCACTAGTATTAGTTTGAAAAAAAAACCGTCTCCTACTAATCAAGATGCATAGTAACATTATTATTACTATTAAAGATGTAAACATGCACCTGCCAACAAGATTTAATTAGAATAGATTGACATTTCTGTCATGTTGAGAGAATTAGTAATCAATATTATAAACCTAGTACAGAATATATCAATCTGTTTTGTTGTGGTAACCTATGTACTCATTTTTGTACTCATCTGAAAAACACAACAGGCCTTTTGGAATAGGTTAAGTATGGTATATTCAATAAAAAAGTTATTTGAATAGTTTTGCAAATTTAATAAATGATCTAGTAAGTATGATCCCCAGTTTGATTAAAAAAAGATCTCCAATTAACATGAACATACTTGTATAACAGGCTAAAGGTTAATATAAAACAATTAAGAAACTATTGATCGGTTAATAACAAGTTGAACTGTTATAGTCATGGAGATGTGTAAGATAAAAGAAGCTAGAGATTTCCATTTGTTTAAATATTGAGGGAATAACCTGAACTATCATGGATTTCCCGTCCCAATTGGTTTGATTCTTAATCACACTAAAAAGATAAATGTTGAGTGCCAAAAACAAATTCAAGAAATATTGTTATAAATTTCCATAATTTAGAAATGGAACTAATAATATATAACAATAGTATCCCAGAAGAAAGACTGATTCTACTAAATCCCTTGGAAATAATTTCTGATATGAATCTGGGACACAATGTTTCTACATTTTTTTCGTAATAACTACCACATTACAGAGGTTAACTGTTTCCTAACCACTACGGTCAAGTAAGTCGACTAATTAGTGACCTTAGAGAATAGTAACTAGTGAACAAGTAACAAGTATTTCCATTACATAGTGCCGGTTTTTCAGTACGCATATTACATAGCTAGTCTCACTTCCATTGAGCTTTGTAAAATGACCAGGTTAGGGGAATTCTGGAATGAGATCTGTGTTTAGATACATGATAGTACTTTGGACATTTACACTATTATTATCACCTATTACGATCCAATCTCTTAATCATATAGTATTCATAACCTGCCCTCGGAGCATTGTACAATACACTGACAGAGAAGCAATTATTTAGTACACAGACGCAGTAATAACCATCAAGGTGCAAAGCTCATACCAACAAATGATCAAGAACATCCATTAGGTCTGAGTATTGTGTAATCAGGAAAAAACAAGCAATGAGTCAATAAATCAAGACAACGAAGAATATTTGCGATTAATTAAGAGAATTTGGAAGATGTGTTTTCTAAAAAGGATGTTTAATTTGTGAGGCTTTTATGGTCTTCCTAAACAACATACTACAAAAACCTATAACAAACTGTTAGTCTCTTGTGAAGAAATATTAACAGCTTGTTTCTGTTTGAAGTATGAAATGATAATAACTCCCAGAAAAAAAAGGTGAAGGATTTATGATTAAACCATCCAATTTATAGAATGAAGCACCAAAATAATAAAATGTGTGTATATTTACCTGAACGGGAGGTGTATTTGTTGTTATTAGAATTGACATTTGATTTTGTTGGACATTTACAGTAAATTTTCCGAAACTGACTGAGTTCTAACTTTTCAACTTGAATAATCCGACCAGGCATAGCCCATGAATTAGCAAATTTATTCGAACTAGAGAAACAATAATGATAATTAGTTATCCATAAATTTCATTCAACTAAATATAAATTCCTCAAATTCAAAGTCAGAAGATAAACTTAAGGTTCATAGTTCAAAATCATGTATGAATCACTTTGTGTACTATTTATCCGAACAGTGTATAACATAGAAATGGAATTGGTACATAGATCAAGTAATACCTTGTTCATTTTAAAGGACGAATGAGAAGCAAGAAAATCAACTAATTTGATTGGCTGGTTTTAAGCGAATCAGAAACGGAATAATGTAAATCACGTGTTTTACATTAATTTGAAGTGTTCATTTGACTTCGTCAATTTCCTGGATTCGGTTTTTGATTCAGTGAGAAGTGCACAATTTAATACAATAAGACTTGTTTTCTAAAACTTTTTAATTGTAATTTAAACGACCTTTCCAACAAACTACTTTACACCTAGTTCTGAATAAAAGTCTATCGAAACTGAACAACACGAAACGTAATATATTCTTCTTTTTAATGTCTCGAAACGTAATATATTTAGGATTTATTTATTATCCTAATCTGATTAGTATCAAACTAATCGTTTATCAATGTTTTGTTAGTTGGATTAAATTGTTATTACTTACTTACTTACGCCTGTTACTTCTAATGCAGCATAAGCCGCTAAATTGTTAATACAACAACCACAAAATATTTAGTCTTACGAAAGGATAAGTGAACTAGTCAATACTACTACTACTGCTACTACTACTACTACTACTACTACTACTACTACTACTACTATGTGTGACCTAAATTAATGAAAATCAAACGTGTATTTTTCTGATGAAATATAGTCATCATGACAACTTGTTGATTCAATTTTTATTTGTATTTCAATAGAATAACTGGTGTGAGGCATTTTAATGACAAGGTGATTGTATTTATAAATGATTATATTTTTTTAAATAAAAAGTGTAATGACAGTATAAATACAATAATAATATTGCGTTAGTGTTCACAATTTGGAAGATTGATGTTTAGAAAGTATATGGAAATGAGTATGTCATTAGTTAGAATTTTAAATTACCAAGTTGAAAGGACAAACATATTGACCACTATCAATTGATGATGGCATAGTCTTTTGTAAATTAATAATAAAGAGTCCCATGATAATCTGAACTGTCCTGACGTGAAATTGCACTCACTGTACTATTTCTATTAATACAGATTTTATGTAAAGATATTTTATCATATTACAAATTACAAAGTATTTACATGATTTATATACATAGTCTTCAATCGTCCATTTGCATCCTTCGGTATTCTCTGCTATCTAAACTGTCCTCTCTTCTGGTCTCCAAGTGTTCTCTCAACGCCGTTCTTCCAATGCACTGAAAGTCTTCACAATCATTGTAACTTCAACGCCATGTTCAGCTACACACTACTTACAAACACCCTTTTTAGTAGCGTTCACTATGCTAGTTGATTTCATTATTAATAATAAAGCAAATTGCTCAGAATAATTTAATTAATTTTGGAAATGAAAATTATCCCCAACCAATAGTTCTTTTTCTAGAATGTTTTTATTTACATGTGAGATATCCTGAGATTATCATATCAAAGAGAGTCCATAAAAGATTTGAATGAAACAAGTTTTACTACAATTCATCACGAAGTGTTAGTTATTATTATTATTATTATTATTACTATTATTATTTATTTCATTGAATAGTTAATCTAAATAAATGGGCAAGTGATGAATAACGTAGGTTTCATTTCACATAAAATGTATATATTACCATGTTACAGAAAATGTATCTATAAATAGTATGAATGAAAAAAGATCCATTTTAATTAATCTTTTTTTAAAATAATATATTTCTGTAGAAAGGGGGAATACATCGACGTTGGGTAAAGTTCCATGACAAAGTAATTCACTAAAAGTATTCAGTAAAACAATTTCTTTTAGGAAGAAGATTATCAAATGACACTTAAATTTATCTGACTTCCATTGATTCAAACAATCATGTCTAAAAGTTTAGGTTACACAATAAGTGTATATTATATTTTAATGCAAAAATCTAAATCTATATATCCTTCTTTTTATCATTCATTTATCAACAACGATAAAACATAATTAAAAACGAGACTATTCTAATCAATTGCAAGTCAATCTATAGTATAGTATTCATTATCATTAGTGAAAATGTATGTTATGTAATAAAAAAGATGTATAGTGAGTTAAAAATCCATCGCGTGTTATAAATGTTCCAACTTTTTGTAATACTCATTATTAACGTCGAGTTCATTATTAGTGAACTTTCTGAATATTCATTAGAATAACACCATAGTTGTCATGATAATAAACGGAAAAGAGAAAAAATTCCTATGTACGTATATAGGTGTGTGTGTGTGTGAGAGAGAGAGAGAGAGGTAGATAGAAGCAAAGAAACAGAGAAACACAAGGCGATTAATTGAAAACGTAAACAAGATCTGGTGAATTACGAGAAAAAAACCTACAGTTACAATGGCGCTAATAATCATTTATCATTTATCCAATGGTTAGTTGATTAATTATCGGCAAACATTTATTCTCTCTGCATATTTTAATTAAGGATGCATAAAGATATATAATTTCAGATAGTCAATGTAATAAACACATCTATCAAATAGAATCATAACACCAACGTGTTCGATTAATGAACCAAAATACACATTAACTTCGCTCTGAAAACAGACTTGATTAAAACTACTAAGTGAATGGTTACTCATAGATACATACACCAACTATCTTTATCAAATAGAAATGAAACCAAAAATATTTTTATAAAAAATTAGTTACCAAATCCAGTCATTATGAATGTTAAACTAGATATAAATAGTACTCTTGAATTATGAAACAAAAGAGTTTACATAATTAAATAGTGACTTAGACATCGCATGTGAATGTATATCAGTTGTCTTGATCAGGTTGCTATAGTACAGTATTAATTTTACTTGTCACTATTGATTATTTATAAACAGAGAAGAAAAATTAAATAATTTGAAACAATAAATAATAATGAAAAAGAACCAGTTTTATAAACGTATTTCTAACGATTGTCCGTATTAGGGTAATCATATGAACATATTGATAATACAGACTACTTTTAGTAACTTGAAGGTATAAATAATTATTCAGAAATTATACCAACATATCATGAAAACAACATATGGTAAACATATGTAATAAATAGAAATTTATAAATAATTGAAAAGACTAAAATCCTATTGGAAAATATCATCCCACCTCAAGGAATTGTATAGATGGGAAACCAGATAATGTAATCTGAAGTCACAGCCTTAATGTAACTTGATACTCATATATATAATTCAAACCTTCTAAATAAATACACAACGGTTAGATAAATTCTTAACAAAGCATTTTAGTAAGACGAAAATAAAATATCAGTATGGGATTGTGGAGATTATTAAGCTTTTGATTGAGATCATGAATTGATCGATGTTAGATCACCATTGAAAACATGGGAGCACTGAATCGCCGTTTCGTCCTATTGTGGGACTCCTCAGTAGTGCGCATTCACCATCCCGCTCGTCAGATTCCAATCCATGGCCTTCAGTTTCGCGCGCGAACGCTTATTATCTAGACCACTGAGTCGGCATCCAACGCTGTTGATGTCTAACTTCAGCCAATCCATGAAATTGCGCGACCGTCATCCATTGCCTGAGGTAGATACCTATCACTACCTCAGGCAATGGATGACGGTCGCGCAATTTCATGGATTGGCTGAAGTTAGACATCAACAGCGTTGGATGCCGACTCAGTGGTCTAGATAATAAGCGTTCGCGCGCGAAACTGAAGGCCATGGGTTGGAATCTCACAACGGGGTCGTGGATGCTCACTACTGAGTAGTCCCACAATAAGAAGGAACGGCCATCCAATGCTTCCAGGTTTTCAATGGTGATCTAACATCGATCGATTCATGATCTCAATCGAAAATAAAATAATTTATGAATAATAAAATATTCTGTAATCAGGTTTAGACAGTATTTAACCTTAAAATCTTCCATAAAAAAAACTTATAAAATTTAATTAATTTAATGAAATATAAATGCTCTATTTCACACTGAAATAAGTATTTATTCATTTGTACATTTGTCGGGAATTTATTTCAAAGTGATAATGATTAGAAATGAAATATTGTTTTGAATTTTCAAGAGAAAAACAAATTTAAGAATATTAACCATAAAAAATTATCATCGAAATAACCTTAGAGATTGAAATTGAAATAATCTCAATATTTTGCTTAGGTAACTGATACACACTTCTTCAGGGAAATGATTAAAATCAACATAACAATTGACATTTAATATCTTTAAACCACAATCAACGTCCAATTCCTGTCAAACTATTTGTTCAAATTTTGACGTATATTTATATGACTGATTTATGAATAGTTTTAAAGTAATAAACTTTTCAGTATAGAAGGTTGTAGAACCTACATAGCTTAAATCACGAGCTGATTTTAGCTAGATCATTACTGAAATGCAGTGAGTGCTGGACGGCAATTTTGCCCTCAACGATTTATGTCCACAACTCAATCAGGGATTGAACCCAAGACCTGTAATTTCCACAACACGCTATAATAACAACCAATTTATGAATAATTTAAAGACCCAACTCCTGGAGTTCTAATCAGAAGCTGTGACTGACCAGTGGAGATCAGTCATATTGGGTGTGAGAAAAATATCACCAATGTTAAGGATGGTAGTCGCGCAATAACTAAAACCAACTAGTTACAAACGTAAGCTAATTAGATGCTACTTGAATGGTTTAATGGTTAAGTATATGCCTCAAGACCTTAAGGATTTGAATCAAGTTGTGGAAGTATATAGCTGAACATCTCCATACTAGGACAAAACAGCTTCCATTGCTTTCAATTTTTCAATGGTTATCTAACTAAAGATAGTCCGTTATATATATAGCTTATGTTTGTAACTAGT